TTTGAATTCCAATGCCCCCATCTCTGCTACAGAACTTTAATGTTGACAATGAAGAAATTGTGATTGTTAAAGGCTTAGTATACCTTGGTTCAGTCATCAGTCCAAGTGGAGACTGGAGCCAAGAAATCAGAAGAAGAAACTCGGAAAAGCAGCAATGAAGGAACTAGAAAAGATCACAAAGTGTGTCACTGGAGATCAAGACCAAGATCATCTGCATTTGTGTATTCCCGGTCACCATGTATAGGTTTGAAAGCTGGACAGTGAAGAAAGCTGACCGGGGGGCGGGGGGGGAATGTTTGAAATACCAGGCTACAGGAGAACTTTGTTGATACCCTGGATTGCCAGAAACACAAACAAGTAGGTCCTAAATAAAATCAAGGCTGAATTATCTCTGGAGGCAAAAATGTTTAAACTAAGGCTATCCTACTTTGGGCACATCATGAGAAGGCAGCAAGAAAACAGGAAGACCAAATACAAACCAGTCTGACTTACTAAAGGAATCTACAGGCTTGAGTTTAACAAGAGCTGAGCAGGCCTTCTGAGGACATGACATTTCGGTGACCCCCTGTTCATGATTCTGTGATTCTAAGTGGGAGGTGACTTGATGGCACGTAACAATATAAATTTCTGTTCCATTCTTGCATTCCATTGATTCCTGCCTCCCTTAATTATTATGCCAGTTTTCTCTAATTTTGGTACCATCAAAATAGTATTTAATTATGATATAGACTCTTGTATTGCTGCAAAATACTCCTTTCCCAGCTGTTCTCAGTATAGGTGTCTGTTCCTTTCACACAGTTGTATATTACTTAAGCAAGGACTCTACTGCTGAATGCATAAGGAAGGCAGTGCTCACGGGCCTCAGTCTAACTGGCTATGTGTATCTGATTCTGTCTGCTCTCATATCCTCCTTGTTACTAATGATGGAAGAGGTAATAATTTTTTTACAGATCCCTACAGAGATGTTTTGGGTACAATGCCATATTTCTATGGTTAAGCAAAATGGATATAACCTTATAGATCCAGTACAGTCCTTCAAATATAATATGAAGTATTACATCTGGGAAATCTCTAAACAAACCAGTCAGTTAAGACAAACATATAAACTAGTCATGGGTAATAAGGCTCTATGACTCTCAGCAGAATTTGTTTCATTTCATAGTGGCAACAAAGAAAGTATAGATGGGAAGTATTTGATGATGGAACTATTCCAGTTTTAGATTGCGATGAGATTTGTGGTTTTTTGATTTTTTAGCTTATAGCATGCCAGTGTATCTCTTGGCGATGCTTCACACAGCGCACTTTAAATAAAACATGTATCTACTACTGTATAATGCCTGAAATGTATTACAAGGTTGTTCCTTTCTATACTTCAGTCATAGTGGTAAACATAGCCTGAATCAAACTGCTGAACCCAACTAGAGTAGACCTATCAAATCATTCTAATTTACCTAAGTCACAATTTATCATTCAGTGGTTGATAGCATGTGCCTTTTTAAGCTGAAACTAGAAAGTAGAAGCTGGAAGTTAACTAAAGGGGAAAAATGAAAAAATAAAGAGAGCATCAAATACAACGAGTAATACAAAAACACCGGAAACCAAATTAGAGAAGCAAAGGAAAGAAGTCCCAAGGCCCCTAAAGGCTCCCCGAGGGCAAAAGGGAGCCCTAAGGAAATCTCAGAATCTGAAGTGGGGGAGCATTCAATTCATTTATATTAATTATTCCAGGCACGCTGGCATAACTTCATGCAACAGGATTTTGCCCATTATTTCCTTGATAAATAGACATCAAAGCTGGTGTTAGGAATATAAGCAAATATCTCTTCCCACAGTGTTTTAATCACTTGGCATTCTAACCACATAGGTATGTGTGTTCCCAACCCACTACAGTTTCTTCTGCAGTTTGTTACTAGATTTCTGTATATATTGCTAAGTTTGACTAGAATCATATGCCTTCTCTTTGTGTTCAGTATTATACCCACTCACTTTTGATGTCACTGTGTCTCTACTGGGGCTTGGGATTCTCCATTACTCTTAATCCTCTCCCTTCTCCACTCACCCACAGACCAATGCTTTTTAAAAAAATTGCTCAGCTGGCACAATATTTATCGTCAGTCATTTAAACTCTGATTCGAAAAACAAATAGCCTTAGTGTCCTGTTTGTTTGCATGAACAGTGAAATGTGAGGAGTGGGAGCTTGTACATTAGGAACCAACCAACCCCGCCCCCCGTACCCATGGGACCAGTATCTCCACAGTTTCACTTTCCCACAATTTACTTCAGCCCTGTTTACAGCATGCAAGGGTGCACCCTTGTGGCCTGTGTGTGTGTGTGGTTTCAGGTATCCATGGTATATGGACTACTGTACTAAGGCCATCTGCAGCAGTGTGAGTATTCAGAGGAGCAAGTTGGAGGAACCTGCTTTCTGGAGTTTCACTGGGGAACTAATGTGGATCTGGAAGTCTATCACTAGAATCCACACACCAGCTAAGAATTATTGCCATGTGCAGGCAATTCCATTGAAAGAACGCTGTTTCTGGGCTTTCATCCATGGATGCAGTCCTGTTTGCAAGCCAAGAGACAGATTTGTTTCCAAAACACTCATAGATGCATTGCTTCAATGATGCTGAAAATTGAAAATTGATCTTTTCAATTGGATAGGCTATCTTTGGCCTTGCTACACTGATCTGTAATAGTAACTTGTATTGAAGGACAAGTGCCACACACACCCATGTCCACACACACTCCTTATATACGGGTTCAGGCTCATTTGAACACTGCTTCGAGATGCTGTTGAGAACCAATCCTAAAGAAAATAAAAGTGACTTCTTTATGTCTGCAGGTTTAAACTCCTTATTTTCTGTATTTCTGTCTTTTTTCCTGTTGTTTCGTGGATGCCAGGCCATTGTCATTTCATTCCTTGAGAGTTTGGGACCTAAATTCAGGCCTTTCAGCAATCATGACAAAATGATATGTTACAGCTTAGACCTCCAGGAGACAGAATGAAGCCAGTAAAGTCATACTATAAATAGTCTGTCACTCGAAGTCTTTTGGAAGAGCTTGTAGGTAAAGGCTACAAAACATAACTGGGAAGCCACAGCATTGGTGAAAGGAAAAGGAACACGTGTTTGCTCAACCAGAGTTGGAAGAAGAGTAATTCTTTAATTACTATTTGTGATAGATTTGCTTGGTGTGTATGTGTTTTTTAAGTAGATAAGTGCCAATATTGAAAGATTCCAGTCTATATCCTCTTCAAGACTGCTATTCTGCTCCTAATTTCCTTTGCGAATCAGCTGCATTTCATACCAGCTTTTTGGAAAACAATGAGGAAATCCTTAGAATCCTCTGAACATGATGTTCTGTGCTGGAGTGTGTTTACTAATTGAATAGCTGATATTGAAAGCTTTGGACCCTAGAAGCTCTTGCCATCTGAACATCTCAATACAAAATGAAACAAGCCAACCAACCTTTCCTACCTCTTGGAAATATTTTTTACACTTGAAAGCCGTGCTTTTTGTCACTATTGGTATTGGTGTGAGGCTTACATTGTCTGGTTTATTGGGAAAAATACTGATCTCATCAATATACAATTGGCTACATATAGGGGAATACTGTACATGCTCCACTTGGATGTGCCCTATGATGCTCACAACCAAAGCAAGTAAAAAAGTAGAGATATATCCTAACATATGAATCTGAGCAGCAGCAACAGGTCTAAAGCCTAGCAGATGCAGGTGGGGAGTCTTTTGAGCATATTGAATTGGCATACCTGGGACCTTGAGACTGAATATTAAAACTGAGACTTGCCAGGTCAGCTGTACCCCATTCCCTGCAATTCAAAGGGCCAAAGCCTGAAATCTGGCAGATCTGTGCCACAGTTGCCTTAACCTGTGGTGAGAGATTAAGTGGTGATGTTACAGCTTGCCATAAAAGGATTTCATGTGTCTAGTATCCCGGTGAGATACACAAACAGAATCTTGCTCTTTTGTTTCCCTTGCATGCTTTCCTTAATTTTAAGATCATTCTCAGAAACCCTACTTGGAGTCTTCCTGCCAAATGAATGCCTTTTTTTAAAAAAGGTAGATGTCCTGAGAAATCAGAATGAACCTTTAGAAAATACCTTCTTTCTCCTGCTTCAGAATTAGTAGCTATTGGCAATAACTAGGAGAGAAGAAAACATACTAGATGTCTTTTAAAAATGAAAACTGTCTCGATTAATTCAAGAGTAATCTGTCATAGCCTCCTGCACTGAGTTGCACAATACCCTGGAAACAGTAGTGTTAACATATACGAAAATTTTATTTGGAGCCCATAATGATCTTTATTATCTCTTTTACATTTTATGAGATTCAATTAAAAAAAGATAGTTTAGAAAATTTCATGCCTAGCCTTGAGACAAAAGTTTTTTTTTAATGTATGAGATATAGCTGTAGGCTTTCTTCTTATTTCATTAGATCTGTACAGGATTTGTCAGGTAGGTGAGAGAGAAAGGTCATTGACTGCAGTCCCAGAGGAAAGTTCATAGCAGGAGAGTTTGAGCCATCCATCTTAATGCATCATGTTCACTGTTGTTATCACATCATGTTGATTACCCATGTAAACTGGCATCAAGCACTTTCACGTCACTGCTTGGGTTTTTATTTAGTTAACATGCAAATCATATCTGTAACACGCTTGAACTTGTCTAAAATAGAGGTGGCATAGTCCCTGTTGAGAATGGAGAGCACCAGCTCGGCTCTTGAGTATTCATGTACTAGATCAAAATTACTCAATGTGTTATGCCACTTTCTCTAAATCCCTGAGTTGTTTTTTGGAATTGAAATTCCCACTCAGCCATGGAATGTCACAGAAAGGGGATAGTGGTAAACCTTGAACATACTGTGTCACATATCTTAAAAACATATCTTAGGTTACCTTGAGTCAGAAGTGACTTGACAGCATGTAATAATTTCCCATTCCCCCTTGGTTAAACTGCCTTGTTAATTCCTCTTTTGGTTCAGGGCTGCTACGAAGGGTTTTTCCCTCAGCTTAATGGAGCGACTGATTCAGATGTATGGCAACCGCATTGTGAAGATGCTCACTGTGCAGTATCGAATGCACCAGGCCATTATGCAATGGGCTTCTGATGAGATGTATGATGGCCGCCTCTCAGCTCACCATTCAGTTGCGCAACATTTACTGAAGTAAGTGACCTGTGCTTGTTTGCTTTTTTTGTTCCCTTTCTTAAAAGTTTTCAGTGGGAGATTGACATTGTTAATATATGTGGATAATGTGTTTGCAGTGTTGTCTTGTCTGCAATAACCTTTTTTCTCTAGCCCTGTTTTAGCAAGCAGGCTTTTTGTCCCTTTTTTCATTTCGTAAATACTGTTGGGTTTTGTTTTGTCTTGTAGCCTTGCACTGCTCTTATATTCTGTTCTAAGAAAAATAAAAACCAAGTTATGCATAAACAAGAAGTCCTATTTCTGCAGTCACCGAGGAACCAACAGCTTCCCATATGCTGTGGAGTTCTTTATTTCCACACACCATCCCGTTTGAGTAGCTTACCATTCCCAAAAGCAGCCTGACATATGGTGGTGGTAGTTTTCTTTTTGGAGCAGGTGGTTAAGAATAGCAAGCTTAGCGTCCCCTTGGGTTTACAGAACTAGGCTCCATGGTTCTTTGAATCACATCCTTTGACAGTAAGGCTCAGTAGAGCAGCTGTGTAATATTCATGATCTCTTTAAAGATCTGCCACATCCCATATTTCCTCTCCTATGAATTGCTGCTTCAGTCCTTCTCATGTGTTATTTTGTTAATTCATAAGTGAGTTATTTGGAAAACCTGCTTAAACATAGGATTATTTTATTGGATATAATGATAAAGGAGGCAAAAAGGTGTTCCTCTATGACTGCTGAGTCCATTCTGAGCAGATATTCAGAGCAGCATTTCTCTAAAAATATAATGCCTGCATGATCCATAAAGCAATGTCAGATTGAGACAAGGTAGAGCACATTTGCTGGCTCTAGCCACAGCATCATTCTTATCTGGAGTTGAGCCTAAATGACCAAGGTAAAGTATGGGTGCCTGGAGTGTATGTTGCAAGTGCACACCATCATTCCTAGCACTGGGCATGTCGGCTAAAGCAGCAGCTTTGCTTCTGATTTCCTGTTTTTGTGGGCGTGTTATAGGGCATAGGAATTAGAGGGTATGGCTGAAGGCTTCAAGGGGCAGGTATTGTCGCTGCTATTGTTTTTATTGTCCACTACTTATTGGATTTACATGGTGTAGATCCAAAAAATTTTAACTGGAGTCCACAGTTGTTCTAGATGTTGGTGGCATGCTCAGACATACCCAGCTTATACATTCAGTGGCATACTTAGTTGTGTGTGTGGACTCACAACAGAGAGCCAGAAAGTTTTAAAAAATCATTTGCCCGATTTCCCTTACATGCCCGTATTTCACAACTATGATTCTTGCCACTGAGAATAACAAAGCAAGCTACAGTAGATTTTAAAAGATTATAAACAAATCCAGTATAGAAAAAGATCCAAATGAAAGAAATCTGTTGATTGGTTGTTGTGGGTTTTTTGGGCTCTTTGGCCATGTTCTGAAGGTTGTTCTTCCTAACGTTTCGCCAGTCTCTGTGACCGGCATCTTCATAGGGCAGCACTCTGTGTTCTGGTGTAGTTTGCTTGGGAGTGGAGTATTTTTGGCTGTGAGATAGGCTTTTGTCCTATTCAGGAGATGGGTGATTAGTGTGTCTTGTTGTAGGTGTATTGTTGTGATAAAAAAAAGCAAAGTGTGCTCCTTATATACCACACCATAGCACTTCAAGCACTCTCTTGGCGGTTTACAAGTTAATTATGCTGGCTACACATTGACCTCCTCCCCAGCAAGCTGGGTACTCATTTTACCGACCTCAGAAGGATAGAAGGCTGAGTCAACCTTGAGCCGGCTACCTGGGATTGAACCCCAGGTCGTGGGCACAGTTTTGGCTCCAGTACTATGATTTAACCACTGCGCCACGAGGTGCAGAGAAGAGATTATCTGTCACTGTGATAGATGGGTGTCATTAGCTGGTCTACAACAAGACACACTAATCACCCATCTCCTGAATAGGACAAAAGCCTATCTCACAGCCATAAATACTCCACTCCCAAGCAAACTACACCAGAGCACAGAGTACTGTCTTCTGAAGATGCTGGCCACAGAGACTGGCAAATCGTTAGGGAGAACAACCTTCACAACACGGCCAAAGAGCCCAAAAAACCCACAACAACCATTAGATCCTGGCTGTGAAAGCCTTCATGAAATCTGTTGATTTAAAGTTTTTGTGTGTATTGTGCTGATACTTGTCATACCATGTTATTTCTCCTGGTAGTGACTGGTGTACAATTGTGTTAATAGTTGTTGCAATGAAATATGTAGGCATTTCTCTTTCTTGTATATTTGAAGCATCCATGTCCATCTTTTCCTCTGAAGAACTCATGGTCCCTCTAGTGCATCACTAGTGTGGGCAGTTCTTTCTACTCACTTTCTACTTATAGCAATCCCAAGGGTGAGAAGCTGAGACTAGTCCAAGGTGACCCAGTAAGATTTAGGGATCATTGGGAATAGAAGTCTGGTCCTGGCCCTCTTTAGCCCTTTGCCTTTACAGTGACTTAAATGGAAAATATTACAAACCCAAAGAGCTTTAGCAAAAATGAGTGCTTAGTATTCAGGCAGTACTTCCATATAATTTTTTAAGGTCAAATCCCAAGTTTAAATCATAGATTTCTATCACTGAGAAGATAATCTCAGTATGCAATATTGATAGCAGATGTGATGAAATACTTTCTAAAGGCCGTGAAAGAAATTGTCCATAATAAAAATGAAATATTACTTCAAGTGAAGGAAGATGTTAAGCAGGGCTATTAAGGGCTGATGTAGTTGCCGGCTGAAGGCTGTATAAATTCTCACTGGCATCAAATAACTTCAGAACATCCTCTTAACTAGAAATTTTCATTCTTGTGGTAATTGCCAGATTATTGGATAACAAAAGGAGATCAGCCTTCTTGACACCTTGGATCCCCAACATAAATCAAGTTATAAAGATGGGGTTCCAAATTACTTTTCCCAAAAGCATGCTATTTCCTGTGGCCAGACTTGTTTTGGCTAGATTATTCCCAGAAGCATGCAGGTGCTTTAAGGCTATACTGATTTCACAGAGAAAGCTGAAAATGGGCTTAAATATGTCTTGTTGAATTGTGTGGTATCGCCCAGCCTGATCCTTGTGTAGCAGGCCTACATCCTACCTCTGAACAGTGAGAAGTTTCAGTGATGCCAGTGCTTACTAGTGGCTCAGGTCTTCTTAGGCTGAGGTCACGGGAGACTCATGGCCTTTCTGGGACATCGGGTTTCTTTAAGCGTTTCTACAAGTTCAGTGCAGCTGTTCCCAGTACTTACCTAATTGGTTCCCTCGTGATGGCTGTAATGTGAGCCATTGTAAGTCGAAACCCAATTTCAGCGTTAAAATGGGGTTTGGGTTCCTGAAGAATTTTCATGCCTGCTAAATAGAATCTCGGCTCTCTTCTCACTTCCCCTCATACCTTTCTTACTTGTTGGTTGGATGATTCTTTCCCATCTCTTCTGCCTTTGCACATCTCCCTCACATCTCCTCTCTGAAGCCTGATTGCTAAGCACTGTCTTTTGATCTGCTGCTTTCTTTCTTCCATCATCTTCCACATTTCTAAGTGGAATTCCTAAGTGGAATTCGTTAAGAGCCACAGAATTTTGTGCAGAAAGCAGGCAGTTCTCCAACTTCTTTTCAGATCCCATTCCAACACTGCCGCTACATCTGTCAGGGCAGATGCAAAGCATGAGGCAGAAAAAGCCCTAACAGCAGCATTTGAATATAGAACTTTGGTGTTAAGCAGTTCTAGGAGTCTGAAAAATAGAAAACAGGTTAGTATTAAAACATTAATATACTCTGGTGTAACATCAGTGCTGTATGTAACAATGCTCAGGAACCAGTAAATCAGGAATCATTTGTTCAACCGTCTTCTGTGCCACAATGCATCCTAGACAAACTGTCAACATGATGGATGGTAGTTTTTTTCTCATACATCACCTCACTAGGACAGCTTCCGCTGATTCCTCCGCGCAGTGCGCTTCTCACAAAGCTGGCAGTGGCGTCCTCTTCACCTTGGGATATCTGGACTGCTTGCAACCTGGAACCTGGATGTGTTACTCCTGGGAACTGCCATCCCTTTGAAGCATCATTTCTCTGAGCCTCCTGGCCATTCGGCGGGCCTTCCCACTGGGTCTCCAGTAAACTTCCGCTTACACAGCTGTCACTGATGTGATAGAATCACTTTCTCAGTGGCCTGCTTGGAAAGCTGGTTATGGTAGGACGCCCTAGGACCGTCTTTGGGGGAATGATCTTCCTTACACAAAGAACACTTTAAAGGGAGTTTAGATGGCCAACCCACCTGTTGGGGGATGTCTTCCAGGCTAAAATCAGTCATTAAGATGTTTGCTGCCTCTTTGAAAATCACTCCTGCATTTTTTCCGAAGTCATGAAGCAAGTGGGTCTCCCTTGAAGGAACATTTGTCAAAATGGCTTGAGAACACGGATCTATGAGGGAAGGATCTGTGTCCCCCAGCCCTTTTGTTAGAGTCTCTGGGTTCAATTGTCTTGAAGACACAGAGATTCTTCTGACAGTAGTTTTACAGGTAGGGACTGCAAATCTACAGATTCATGGTTTGAAGGCATGCTAGGGAAAGTGGGAGCGCCCGTTGACCCCGTTAAGTCAATCAATGACTGCCGGAGCTTATCTGCTTGCAGGTTAAGTCCAGTCAGTAATCTACGCTCTCTAGTTAAATCAAAATGACGTAAAAGAGTCTCACCTGTCCTTCAATGAATCTATGCAGACTGCTTGGAAATCAAGCATTGTAAATCCATGGTGTCAAATTGTAATGTCCACGGGAAGCCTTCGTGATCTCTTTAGTGGCTCCAAAACCTCCATCTTGCAAAAGGTCGTCTGAGATGGGCTGCATAGCTGGCATTCCTCCATCTTCTCTTGCTTCCTTCTCAGCTTGTGGAGAATTAGCCCCTTGCGACCATAGAGGCAACAATGCCATTTCGTGAACTTGAAAACCTATAGAATCATTTGTCCGCAAACTCCCAAAGTCAAACAGGTTTTCAACAGCGACTGCATCATCT